CGTTGAAAGCCGTGCATCGTCTAACGTCGTTTCAGTTCGGCAGACTTCGGCACTCGTCAGACTTCGGCACGGTGTTTGTGTGCGTGCGACTAGATGTATGCGTGTACACTAGCTGCTAACTCAATGATAAAAATTCCTGAATAACCTACATGGTATTGTAAGATATTAAAAATATTTTAAACAATATTAACTTCTCATTTATTCAATAAGAGAAAAAAAATTGTTTTCTTATCGGTCACCACGCTCAAAAAGTGTAACTTGATTTAATATCAAAGACTTAACTGCATAAATAAAATAAATGAATAATTATAATTGCATAAGTTGATAAAAAATGCTATGCAATAGCTTTACCGCGGCAGTCACCGAGTGCCACACGTATTTTTTATCACGTTATTAATACTTGGAATAGCCATGCTATAGCCATATAATAGTTCTAGCACGAATGGGTCGACTTGAAAAACTAAGTGTCTACCGAAAACTTAGTGTCTACCGAACACTTAGTGTCTAACGTAGTTGTGCTGTGGTTTCTCGCCTCGTTCCTATTAAAGTAGTTTTATTTGGATAGTAGAAAATCAAAAACCATTTGCTAAATAATTTTTCTTTAAATTGTCCAAGGTTTTCAGATAAAATATAGCCCGACACATCAACCTATGCTCCTAAAATTCTCTCTATCTTTTCGTGAAGTTTCATTGTTGCATCGCCGAGCCAGGCTGCAGTTATATTATAGTTATAGTAGGAATGAGACGGCTCGAAAGGGGAAGGACCACGCTTTTATCAAATACTAGTGTGAAATAGCAGCTTAATGCTGCTGTGTTTCTTTTGGCGAATTTAGAGAACCGGAGACTCTTTTTACTGGAAACGAGGCATACTATTTTAGTCCTCAGGTATGACAACGTATCCGCATTTTGATTCTAAATCGAGGACAGGTGTAGACGTCGAAAAGTTACAGCATTCACTTACCATCAGGTGGACTGTGTGCTCGATTGTCACCATTAATTTACAATAAACTCCACTTTTTAGAGTATTATAATCAAACACAACACCGTTTCTTTGTTATGAAAAAAGCGACCTAGCCTGGCTTCGCTTGGATAGGTTTATATATATATATATATATATATATATATATATATATATATATATATATATATATATATATATATATATATATATATATAGTAGCTTTATTTAGATTAAAGTTAATCAAAATCATTTATTTTATCAATTTCTTTTTTATATCGTTCAAGTTTTGTTTTTTAGATAAATTTGGATAATTACACATGGAATTGCTCTCTATATGAAGTTTCATTACACTCGGTTCAGCCATTCTGATGAATAATATACCTACTACCATGCTGCAGCCATAATATAGCTACAGCTTGCCTCTACCACGTAAACCACCAACTTCAAACTAGAAGTCTACAGAAAATTTAACGAATAATTAAGTTTAAATTAAGTTTATAATAGACACAGATATCGCGTAACGTATACGAAAAAATTGGCCAAGTGCGTTTCGAGCCACGCACAATGTAGGGTTCTGTAGTTGCCCGTATTGAACTTAGAAGGGGCTTTCTCGATACTATGAGCATATTCGATCGCGTGAGATCGCGGTTCCATATCCATTAGGTAGCGGCAGTGCTACCCTAATATGTACATGACCGAAACAAACCTTCCTCTAACTTACCAGTGCCCTTAACTATCCTGAGGGACGCCTATGTAAACCAAGGGCATCACGAATAAAAAAACTCCAGGCCTACAAAAATTACCAATTAAAAATTTGTGAATATAAAATAAAAATTTGTGTCCTTATTCTGATATATCAATGTCCAGAATCAGCCTCTTATCGATCATCTCTGCTTACCCCTAAAGAAAAACGTAAGTCCATAGTAATGCCTGCGTCGTTCTTTTCAAAAAAATACGTTTATCTTTTAGTTCAGAATGACATTACAAAGTTATAATGCGGCTAGTTTTAGGTTATTTTTTAAATTATAACAAACACTTTTATTAATGCTAAAATACACTTGGGAAAAATATGTTTGTTGACTCGTTAACTTTTTAAGCCTACTAGATAGGTTTCCTAACTTCATTATTTAATAGTTCGGAGCAAAAGTTTCTTCGTAGGTATTTTGTTTGTATAAAATTGAAGAAAAACCTTTTTGTTTGTACTGATTGTATCTGGCTGATTTTAACATCAGTACATATAGAACATTAAGGAAACTTATAAAAAAATAAAAAAACGCTTTCCCGCCATTTGTGAACTGTTTTTCCGTCCGTCAAAATCAGTGAATCTAACGAAGATATTCGATACATTCTGAAGTTTTATTACAAAAAAGGAAAAAAAAACACTCAAGCCGCGAAATATATTTTTAACGTTTATGGACTAGGCGTTTTCAGTCAGGGAATTTTGATGTCAAAGATGCAGCTCGCTCTGATTGCCCTTATACGGACAAAGTCGATGCCATTTTTGAAAAAGTAGAGTAAGAGCGGCATATTAGTTACAAAATAGCCGAGAAATTGAGGATTTACCATAAAGCAGTTTTGACGCATATGAAAAAGTCTGGATATAAACAAAAACTCCAAATTTGGGTACCACAGAAGCTCACTGACAGAAATCTAATAAATCGTGTTCTCATTACCGATTCTTTATTAAAACGTAATGAAACCGAACCATTTTTGAAAAGATAGATCACTGGTGATCAAAAGTGAATCACCTACGACAAGAATGTGCAAAAAGATCATGGCCAAAGGGTTGTGAAGCTGAAATGGCAACAAGTTATCGAACAAAATGGCACATACATATTACAAAATGAATCATCACATACATATTACAAAATGTCTTGAATTCATATAAATACGAACAAACTTGTTCCCCAATCCCAAATACTACTATCGTGAATACTTTGCACAAAACAGCGGTTTAGTTAGAAGAATACACGATTCTAATAAAAAAACTACCCCTTTAAAACTATATATATATCGCAAACGGAACGGACTTCTAAATCGAAAAAAATGTACAATACCCTCAATATTTTTGAAAAACCTATACAACGACACCTCACACAATGAAATAAACGGATTAAAAAATCATCAGTATGCGAGGTACCCAAAATAAATAAAAAAATCCAAGATTTTATTTCACCGTTTTGTAATCTTAATACTAAGTAGGCCTAATTCTATTCGTTATATTCTTGGTTTACGCGGGCGTCCCTCAAAATAGTTAAGGGCAGTGGTAAGTTAAGGGAAGGTTTCTTAGGATCTCTGAGTAAAACCGCTTACGCACGGACTGACGAACTGGGACCTAGAAGCTCGAAACTATAACTGACTTTGGTTTCTTGGTTTTTACTACGGTACCCTAAAATCATACTGTATAATTGTACACATCCTCCTTTTTAGAAGTTTGTTATATAAAAAAATCTTAAAAGTGATAATATTGTGATCAAGACTGGTTTTGTTCGGCGAAGGTCTAACGGTCAGTTCGAACTGCGACGTTGGAGTTGACCATGAAGGTCAAGATGATTTCCTGGCTTACCATACAATACAACAGTATTTATTGCACTCCAACGAAGAATAAATCACATATCAAAGTAAACAATCAGGGAGATAATAACCTTAACAGTTTTCATAATAGTTTTTTCTCTTAAAATAATATTTTAAGAATTCCCCTCTGTCGCCTCTTCAGACACCCACGGAAGGATATGCCGTAGTAGATATTCTTAGATCGTCACCACATGGTTAAGCTATTCATCATCATCATTGCCGCCCTTCACAATTTCGCTGATGAACATAGGCTTTATGCAAAGAATGTTACGAAACACAGTCCTGAGCCACCTGCATCCATCGACTTCCTGCATGTCTTACCAGATCGTCACTCTATTTAGTGGGGCGACTCACACTTCACCTACAGGTACGAGGCTGCAACTCTAACACCTTGCTTCCTCATCGGATATATATCGCCATGGGGGGGGGGGGGGGGCATCTAAATATCTGACTGCAGGCTACTACTAAGAATTTATTGACAGAATAAACCAATAACTTATTTTTGATCCGACCTGGATTTCCAACCCGAGGTATCTTTACAACCACTGGATCATCGAGACACATGATCGCCAGTCAAGCTTACCACCACAAGGAGGCAGTCGAAGAGTCCACTACTTCTTAAACAGACAGAACTCACCGAAGCGATGGCCAATGAACTACTAATCTTCCGCTCGCTAGATGTCGCTAGGTGACACTGGGGTAAAGTTTTTTGTTACATAGTGTTATTTAATTGAGAAATTGCATTTTAAATAAAAGTTTATCAGTTTCTAGAATATTATGCTAATACACGAACAATGCCTCAGTGGCTTGCTCTTTAATTTTTTGTACATTTTTAACACATTTTTTAATTTTTCTAATTTTATTTATATTTCAACCGAATTCAAAAAGGTGGAGGTATTAAATTCGACTGTATGTTTCTTTTTTTAATGTGTGTTAAGTCAGAGTTTGTCTCTGAGTGCAATGAGTTTGATGATTCTTTTTTTGTCTAAAAGCTGGTATTTCCCTTGTGGTCCCATATAAATCTAATTAAGATCTTACCAGTAATTTTTGAGTTATCTTCAACAATGCGTATTTAATTGACTTCGAATACATTGATCATGTTATCATTTTAACTATATTGAAGTCGGTTGTACAAAATTTTTAATTTTACCACTTGTTTTGAATCTAAGCAATATAATATATAACTAATAATAAATAAAGAAACATTAACCTTTACATTTTTCGAACACATTGGCTTCCCTACCATGAAATCTGTCTTCATTTTCAAGTGGCGCCGCCTAGTGGCAGAAAAAGTCATTAGTCATAAATTAATTAAAAAACCAACGTTTGTATTTTAACATTGAACGGTGTTATTCTTCCTATTGTTGCCCTGTCCTCATAACATATAAGAACTAAGGCCACTAGATCTCAATGTTGTTGTTTTAAATATCTCGTAAGGACACATTGTGTTGTGTGATTTTTTTTAAATGTGTAAGTAATACAACTTATTATCTCCTCATGCAATAATTAAGAAAAATAAATTTTAGTATATGTAGTCTATGATGTTATGTTTTTATTATCAAGGCCACGCTACATAAAAATAAAGGAAATTATTTATACGAGTAATAATATGCTTTCAAGGTCAGAATTAAAATGTAGTGAATATGTATTGATTATAAAAATTAGTAACAACCGTTAGTCGTAGGTTTTATTTTTGGGTTGTTATGAAATACTTTTAGAAAGTATTTTTTATAAGAACTTATTTTTTATCAATGTATAACATAATTTAAAAAATCATTTATTACGCTGTTTTATATGAAAAAGAATTACCATTGTCTCTATAATACAAACAAATTTATAAATAAATATCAAATTTATGTTATATATTAGCATTGTCAACATTACTTTCAACAATTTTGTGTATCTGAACAAGACGGTCACGCGCGTTCAGTGCATTTTCCCCATCCCAAAAATGCCCAACGTGCTCAAAAAAATTTTCTCTTCAAAAGTTTTCACTTCAATAAAAAATAATAATTAAAAAATAGGAAAATTCTTACAATATCTGTTTTTTTTAAACTTTACAGTTACCTTATTTACTTACTTACTTATCTTCACACACAATCCCTAACGGGGTAGCCAGAGAGAACAGATCGCCAAGTGTCACGATCCTTACATACCTCTTTCGCTTCTTTCAGGTTCATTAACTTCTTCATACATGCACGTCTAGGTATCCGAGTACTCTTGACCCTCCCCTCTTCGAGCAATTTGCTCACATGGTCTTCGAAAGTTAGTCTCGGTCTACCTCGACACCTTTTAATATTTACTTTCGCTCTATATATTTTCTTCACCATTCGGTCTTCACTCATTCGCTCAACGTGCCCAAACCATTGGAGTACGCCCCTATCAATTTTTGTGATAAGATCATCTTTCAATCCTGCCATATTGCGAATCTCTTCGTTTCGCTTTCGGTCGGCTATGGTAACGCCACACATTTTACGAAGAGATCGCATCTCCACTGCATTCAACTTGCTTTTATGCAAACAATTATTTGTAAGTCATAGAAATACTTGTTCCGTGCAGGATTCGAACCCATAGCCCCCAGCGCTGCAACTAATTGCTAAGCCACTGCCATGGAGCTGTCATTTTATAGACATTTATTATTGTATACGATTTTTTTAACTATCAAGGCCACATAAATACGTAGTGTTTTAATATACTCTTTGAGTACATATACAACAGTAGATATAATAAACTATTTTTATGAGCAAATAATAAAATATGCTTTCGTTTTGGGGTGAGGTTTCGGGGTATTCGCGTCAGAACCAACCACAGCAACTGGCTGCTTGGCCATACACTACTGTGCGATTTACAAGGACTTTTCTTCTTCGTACGACTTCTTTGTAGAATTGTTTACCACCGGCGATTTTTACGAACCGATACGACTTAGGAACCTTCAAAAACTGAGCCTATATTATTAATTTTATATATATATATATATATATATATATATATATATATATATATATATATATATATATATATATATATATATATATATATATATTTGTTATATTAAAAAATCTTAAAAGTGATAATATTGTAATCAAGACTGGTTTTATTTGGCGAAGGTCTAACGGTCAGTTCGAACTGCGTCGTTGGAGTTGACCATGAAGGATTTGTAACAACTCTTGCATGTCTGTTACATTTACAGATGAATTTTCGATTCTAAAATATATAGATATGAGCGATCCATCATCAACTTTAAATGTAAGCTACAGCAGCAGTTTTTACGTCTCACAGCTAGGCAGAGACCTCCTCTCAACTATGAGTCGGTTACGCAGCAATTTGTCTGTTAGGCTGCTCCAGTGCGTGTTGGCGAACACAAATGTCCCTAAACTGTTTTATTTCTCAGCCATGCAGGTTTCCACAACTATGTTACCCTTCACTATCGAGCACGTGGTATTTTTTTTATAGAAGAAGGGGCAAACGAGCATGCGGCTCACCTGATGTTAAGTGACTACCGCCGCCCATGATCAACCGCAACACCAGGAGAATTGCGGGTGCGTTGCCGGCCCTTTAGAAAGGAGTAAGCTCTTTTCTTGAAGGTCCCCAGGTCGTATCGGTCCGGAAAAATCGCCGGTGGTAAACTATTCCACAGAGAGGTTGTACGTGGAAGAAAACTCCTTGTGAAACGTACAGTGGTGGATCGCCAAGCATCCAGATGGTGTGGATGGTATCGGGACGTTTGCCGTGTAGTGCGTTCACGAAATTTGGCGGCTGGGATTAATCCGAACAATTCCTCAGAGCACTCCCCGTGATATATGCGATAAAATACGCAAAGATATGCAACATCTCTTCGCAGCGCCAGTGAATCGAGCCACTCTGAAAGCACTCGGGCGTTAACGATTCGAGCCGCTCTGCGCTGGATGCGGTCAAGTGGAAGGAGCTGGTACTGGGGAGCCCCAGCCCAGAGATGGGAACAGTATTCCATGTGCGGCCGAACCTGTGCCTTGTAAAGTTGCAGGCGGTGTGCCGGCATGAAATACTGTCCCGCTCTACTGAGCACGCCAAGCTTTTTAGAGGCCAATTTGGCCTTCCCTTCCAAGTGATCACGAAACTGCACGTCACTCGATATGTCGACGCCGAGGAATCCGATACTGGCTGAGGCAACAAGGGGAGTGCCTTGAAACTGAGGGGATACGACAAAGGGGTTCTTTTTTGCGGTTAACGCGCAAACTTGTGTCTTCTGGGGGTTAAACTGGACTAGATTTAGTCGCCCCCAATCCGAAGACTGTCCAGCAGAGACTCGACTTCAGACACAAGTTTGTCCCGGCACTCGGAGACGTTTTCCCGAGAAATATTGGCTCGGCCGGAGTAAAGAGCATCACCAGTGCTGTCATCTGCATAGCAATGAATGTTACGGGTATGCAACATGTCATTGATATGCAGAAGAAACAGCGTTGGCGATAGCACGCAGCCCTGTGGAACACCAGCATTAATAGGCTCGCAATCGGAGCTTGCACCGTCTACAACGACCTTGATGCTCCGATCTGCAAGAAAGCTGGTGATCCAATCGCACAATTTCTCGGGAAGCCCATAGGAGCTTCGAAGGAAGCACTTTGTGCCAAACCCGATCGAAGGCCTTCGCAATGTCCAAACTAAAGGCCAATGCCTCCCCCTTGAACTCTACTGCCTCCGCCCATCTGTGAGTTAGGTAGACCAGAAGATCACCAGCTGACCGACCACGGCGAAAACCGTATTGGCGGTCACTAATCAGCTGGTGATCTTCAAGCTACCTCATGAGCTGGCAGTTTACAATGGACTCCATTGTTTTGGAGAACAAGGAGGTGATGGCGATTGGCCGGTAGTTGGACGGGTCAGAGCGGTCGCCTTTTTTAGGGATCGGGTGGACGTAAGCCGTCTTCCATGATTTTGGGACTACGCCTAGGGAGTAGGAGTACCGGAAAAGACGCGTTAAAACCGGTGCCAACTCTGGAGCACACGTCCTCAGCACAATTGGGGGGATTCCGTCAGGCCCACTCGACTTGTGGATGTCCAGGGAGAGGAGTGCTTTGCGAACCGAGCGCTGTGTGAAGTGCACTTTCGGCATGGAGCGCTCACACCGCGGGATGGTCGGCGGCGTACTCCCCCCGTCATCGAGAGTCGAGTTAGACGCAAAGAAAGAGCCTAGAAGATCGGCTTTCTCCTTTGCGGTATGGGCCAGTGAGTCGTCCTCCCTGTGCAGAGATGGAAGAGATGGCTGACAGAAATTCCCCTGGATAGCCTTGGCGAGAGACCGGAATGCACGGGTTCCAGAAGGAAGGCGAACTAGTTTCTCGCCAATTCTGCCTATGTGCTCTGACTTTGCCTTGGCAATGACTCTTTTGAAGGACCGAGAGGCGGAATTATACTTCTTTTTTTAGAGCGCTGGTGTTTACATCCCGGGACGCTGATGCATCAGCCCAGGCTTGGTAGCACTCCTGCTTATAGCATGATGCTATTTTACAGGAGCGACCAAACCATGGCTGAGACTTGCCTCCAATGGGCACCACAGAGGAAGGAATAAAAAGTTCCATACCCTGAAGTACCACATCGGCAACAGAATCTGCAACAACGTTGGGATCATCCAGCGAGAAGCAAACCCGCCCCCAAGGGTAGGATGCAAAGAAAGACCGCATCCCATCCCAATCGGCTGACCTATAGTGCCAAACACGGCGGCAGCCTGTAGAATGCAACCGCGATTTCAGCATGAGTGGCACCACACTCCGGACCAGACAATGGTCCGAGGAGCCTAAAGGGGCGTCGACGGAAATCTGATATCCGTCCGGAAGGTCCAACAGGGAAGGTGTATGATCCTCCACATCTGGAATCCGCGTAGGCGAAGTAACCAGTTGTGTCAGACCATATGCCAAGGCAAAATCATGAACAGATCTCCCCGCATGATCGGTTAAACGTGAACCAAGCCATTCGGCGTGATGGGCGTTAAAGTCGCCGAGGATCACGATCTCTGCGGAGGGGATCTGCTGTAGCAACGAATCTGCAGCCATTTGGACGTGGTCGAAGAGTCGGTCTGTTTCGGCATTACCGCTATGGGACCTATAGAGGCACCCGTAGACGCGCGGATGGTCGTCGCTGTCTACGCGTAGCCAAAGGATGGACAGGTCCGAACCTTCAAGTCTGCCGAGGCGTCGAGAGCAGATGTCCTCTCTGACGTAAACGCAAACTCCAGCCCGAGGCACAAAGGAGTGTTCCAGTTTGTACCCCGGGTAGGAGAGATACGAGACATCAGCCGGAGAGGACACCTGCGTCTCGGTCAGAAAGAGCAGAGCCGGCCTCGCCATCTCGAGATGGTAGTGGACGGCGTTTAGGTTAGAGTGAAGTCCCCCTGATATTGCAGACATTCACGGACAACGTGGCAGGGGTCGCCTTGGTCTTGTTGCTCCGTTTGCCCCGAGCAGTTGTAGTCTTGAGCGGAATTTTACCCCCCCCCCCCCCCCCCCAGAATACGCGGGGCAACCTGAGCACCCACGCTCAGAAGTGGAGAAACATGGTCGTGGATGCTCAGCGAGGGATTCTCCAGGGGTGCTGGTACCCTCCTGGGGTAGTCGATCATTATTTAATTCCGCTACCATGTTGATGGGGGGGGGGGGATTTGGGCCTCCGGCCACCTGCACTCACCAGACGAAACGCGGAAGCAGAGCTTCCATTTCACGCCGGTATTCTGTGAGGTCGTGGTACCACCCCGGTTTGAGCCGGCCCATACGTGCAACAGCAAAGCTGCCGCGTGGCTCTACCACTGTTAATAGTTTCATTGAGATATAGATTTCGTATTGCTCACATTTTGTATAATTCAAGAGGAGCACTTGGGCTCCGAATATAAGATTATCCTTTCAACTGGAACACTTGTACTCCTGATTTGAGGAATAAATAAGTGGGGTGATGAAAAGAATGGAATAAAATAGAATCATATTTAATTCATAGAATCAGGCGTCACTTTAAGGAAATCCATTATATTAAAGTTATCGCAACCACTAAGTCACAGAGCGGTCAGCCACCGCAAAGTCTACATCACCTGAGGATGCCTCGTGTAGAGGCGAAACACGTGTCGTATTGTCGTCGATGGTGTGTCTTTCCTAGTGTAGTGGTGTTGGGAGTAGTGGTGCTGGGATTAGTGGTGACGGGATTAGTACACGCAATTGAGGAAGGGCGGGAGGTGCTCTTAAAACTACGTAAGACACATAATTTTATTTTATTGAGCGGATGTATGCGAATTAATTTTAACAACTTTAATAGAATCATATTTATTCAATATAGATAATACTTATTGAAAATAATTTATGCTTTAGCGCTGGTCCGGAATAACTTCTGTCCTAGGAAGATCGAGCAGGAAACCCAACGGGAATATTTGAAAGAAATCAATTTACAATATATGTTTTATACAGTTAACCTGTTAACCCAGACACACTCAATCACCTAGAATAAAGAATTATGAATAACATCAGTAAAAACATTTTCGTTTCAGATTACATAATACTTTTGTCAGTGTCGGTTATAATGACTGAAGCTTTGCCGTTAGAAGAATATCTAGGTAATAATACAGATAAATTTAAGGAACCTCAAGATTTCGAAAGGGACCTAGAATTTGTTTCATATGTCGAGAACTTCAAGCAGTTAATGGCTGCATACGTCAATTCTGAATACAAATACTTAACGACAAGCGAGAAGGAAAGAGTAAATACAATATTAGAGGACTTTTTTCATAATTTGTCCAAGGATCTAAAAGAAGTTATTACGTTACAAAATGAGAATAATGTCAATCATGGTGGGTTTAAGGAAATCATTAAAGATGGCGAATCAGACGAAATATTTGAAAAAATAGAGCAAAAGGTGATAAGTGAACTCCCAGACGTGAACGACGAAACATCAAATGAAATTGTAAATAAGTTAAGGAAGAACTTGCTATTGACAAGACAGCAGCTCGATCAGGTCATTGATGAGTCGAAAAAGAGACAGCTTGAGAATTCTTAGCTGTTTTTCAGTATTAAACTGTAAACACGCGTTTTGAGAAATGGTCAAATAAAATAGAACTTTCTTAATCCAAATGTGTATTATTTCATGGTCATCATAAGGCCATAAAGGTTTATAGCTGGACATGATTTGCGTTAATCGTCACGCTTGATTAACGGATTAACAATCGTAACCAGATGTGAGCACTTTTGACGCTGCTCCCGTCACTAGTCTTGGTGTTTTTCACCTGGCGTAAAGATATGGGGGCATAAAGATTATACAGATTATAAAATAATATGATATAAGGAGTACGTGGTAGAGACACGCTGCATCTATATAAGTCGATTTGACTGGGGAAGAACCACAGCTCTCACAGAATACCAGCGTAAAATGGCAGGTCAATGCTCTGTGTTTCGTATCGTGAGTGTAGCGAACCGGAGACCTTCGTTTTTATTTTGATTCTTAGTCGAGGATAGATGTAGATGTCTATAGGCCACAGCATCAACTTACCATCGGGTGAAATGTGAGCTCGCTTTCTACCCGTATTCTATAAAAAATCAGCAATCCACTAGTGGCTACTTACCAAATATCTATTCTAATGTATATTTAATACTCACGTTTAATAATAATAAATTAAAATAATAATAATATACAAAAAAACCGGCCAAGAGCGTGTCGGGCCACGCTCAGTGTAGGGTTCCGTAGTTTCCCGTCCGTCACAATAAGTGTTCCCACTTATGAATTTAAAGGTAGGTATCCATTATGTTCGCGCTCTAGCAGCGATCCGTGCTCCTGCAACTGTTCCCGGTAGTGGGTACTGTTGTTTCCATCCAAGTTCAAAATGATTTTCCTATAAAGTCCTTATAAAGTTCTACTTTTCAGATTTTTTTCATATTTTCTAAACTTATGGTTCAAAAGTTAGAGGGTTCACATTGTTTTTTAATTTTGGAGCGATTATTTCCGAAATTATTGACATTATCAAAAAATGATTTTAGTAAACCCCTATTCATTTTTAAATACCTTTCCAACAATATGTCACACGTTAGGGTTGAAATTAAAAAAAAAAATCACTTCCCACTTTACATATAGGGGGGCTACCCTAATAAAACATTTTTTTCCAATTTTTATTTTATCACTTTTTCGGCGTGATTGATACACATATTGGTACCAAATTTCAGCTTTCTAGTGCTAACGGTCACAGAAATTAAGCGAGGACGGACAGACGGACAGACAGACATGGCGAAACTATAAGGATTCCTAGTTTACTACGGAACCCTAAAAAGGAAATTGAAAATTCCAATAAATTTTCTACATTGCAAAACTCGTCCAGGCTATGAACGAATTTATATATGGTACATATTGTATTTAAATTTGTAACTCGCAGTCAATCTGGAATCTTTGTTGGCCATTGTCAAGACGTGTCACTTAGTTTAACATGAGTACTAAATTGGCAATTTGTTTGTTTGTTAAAAATAAAAATGTTATTTTGTGAGAGATGGATTTTTTATAGGATAGGGTGACAAACGAGCACAAAGTCCACCTGATGGTAAGTGATACCTACATGTATCCTCAATTACGAATCAGAATGCAGATGCGTTGTCACCCGTGATGACTAAAATGGAATGCCTTGTTTCCAGTATAAAAGGGTCTTCGGTTCTCTACACGATACGATACACAGCAGCATTAAGCCAAGTACTATTTTACGCTGGTATTATGTGAGAGTGTGGTCGCTCCCCGGTCGAGCCGACCCATTCGTGCTACAACTATACTACTGTTGCAGCATGGCTCTACCACGTATAAAATGCCTATAACTGAAAATACTTGTCCGTTAAAGTTTTTTTCTATTTTGACGGCAGAATATTATTATTAATAATTGAATTCAATATAAAGGGGCATCAAAAACAGTCTTAAAAAAAAATATATATATATATATATATATATATATATATATATATATATATATATATATATATATATTACAATAAAGTTACATTAATAAGCATACAGTTAAGATAAAAACATTTCAGACATTAGACAAATAATATAGTAAATTAAAGGCAAAATATTGTCTTTCAGAATTAATATATCTATTCTAAAAACTTGTAAAAATATTTAAAAATATGATAAATAATAAAAATACAAGTCGAAAATATTATTAAAATAAGGATAAATTACATTTATCTTATAATTAGAACATTGCTTAAAAATTGTTTAAGTCTTAGAAGGAGTTCACGTATAAAAGAAAATTTTCCCAAGTTATGGAAGGTGTTCATCTTGTATGGAGGACCTGCCGGAGATACATATCTGCAGTTGTACATAATATATATGGGATGGTCTGGTGCCCGACTGCTTGAAGTACTGTAGCACATTGACTAGTCCTATATTAGGGACTTATGATAGTGGTTGCGCGGAAAACCATTCGCGTTTTTATTTTTGACGGTAGGAACTTGCCGAATCATTATTCCCTTTCCCAAACGATATCATTCGTACCCTCCTATCGACACATCGGGGTGATGGGGTGGGAGGGGAAAGAAGACGATTCTAGAACATCGCGTAATCATCGGACCCGAGGATATATAAGACACGCGCGACCGACGCGCGCTCTCTTCTTCCCGCCGCAGCCGTCGTTGAACTACAACGCTTCTCTCCTGACGCACCCCTGGGGACCCAGAGTGTCTGTCCAGAGGAGGTTCCGGAAATCGCCGCTATAGTGCTCTAAAGGATAGAAGAACCCCGGCAGGATTCCTTTCATCGATTTGGCAAGTAATAGTTTTAGTTTAGGGAAGAGCGAGTGCATTGTACCGCATGCTATAGTAGTCGCTTTTACATAAGCATAGAAGCAATCGCAAATACAGTCCACTTTAGTTAATATCTCGCGTAATAGGTTTGAGGTTTGACCGGGGAACTAGATTTTCGGCAGCCTTAAACACGTGGCTCCACCATTTTATGGTCACTTCGGCAGGATCTGGATTGGTGTTTAGTGGTTATCCAACCATTTTCTGGTCGAATTTTAAATTAATTGTTTAGATAACGCACTGTAATTTATGGAATAGACTTAAATAGTGTTCGTTTAAATTAAAAATTTGATTTGGTACTCGCAAACAGAATTATTCATTTAATAGCGCTCGTATTTGGTTAAATTTAAAGCTTATTAAACAATTGAAACGGTGTGATAGCAACCGTTTGATACGCTTACCCACAATTTTTGATAAAATTATTAGGTTTAGCAAACGACGCGTAGACTCGACCGCAACGGGTGTTCGATCTGATTACGTAATACGGCACGCCGAGTGTTCATCCTACGTCGTTTATGCGTGTGAGATTAATTGTGATTAATATAACTTTATTATAATAATTTAAAATGGCAGTTAGTGGAAGTGAAATCAAAATTAAAACGCTTTATGCCAAGAGGGACATACTCTTTTCGCGTGTGCAGAATATAAGTAATTATATAAAGAACATTAATATAGAGGCAGTGCGGGAAGCCTTTTTGAATGAAATCGAAACGATAGATACTTTGCGGATAGATTACGAAAGAATATTAGACCAAATTAATCATTTGGAATTACAAAGCGACCCGAAATACATAGTGAACTACCAACCGCTGCTGGCATTCGAAGATATGTTGTGTCGCGTAAAAAGAACTGCAAAAACTCCTACAATCTCAAAGCGAAGCAAAGCCGGAAATACAGGTACGCCCTCGTGACTCAATTAGGTTACCGCCAATAGATATTCCGGTATTCAATGGTGATATTAAGACGTGGCCCTTCTTCTTCAGTAGTTTTCAAAAAAATATACACAACAACCCATCGTTATCGGACGCTGAAAAATTATATTACTTAATTAGCAAACTTAGTGGCAGAGCACAGTCGATCTGCTCGGGTTTTACACCTACAGCAAACAATTACGTATTAATATTTTAAGGTGATGCAGCGCTCTCCAAACGTTAAACAGGAGATTAAAAGGTGCGTCGACCGTAGACAGACTCAACCATCTAAAATAGCAGGGTCGTTAACTTACGTAACCGCTACGCCGACATCACTCCAGCATACTTGTATAGTATGTAAAGATAAACACGGTAATTTATATAATTGTGCGACTTTTCGTAAATATTCACCAAGCGAACGTTATAAGTTAGTAAAGACAAACAACCTATGTTTGAACTGCTTAAGCGATAAGCATTTAGTTGCAAAATGCAATTCGAGTTCCGTATGTAGCAAGTGCGCCAGGAAACATCACACGCTATTACATTTTGAAAATAGCAACATAGCGGCGTCAAGTAAGGCGGATATGGAATTCACCCCTACTAAGGTCAACGATTCTAGCGGTCGACCTGGTGATGTCGCTCTGTGCTCATTGGCAAATATGGGAGTACAACCTCCTTCGACCGTGCTACTGGGTACGGCGCGTATTTTGGTTAGGGATTCGCGTGGAAACGAACAAAGCGTCCGTGCACTGCTGGACAGCGGAGCCCAAAATAGCTTTATAACACGACAATGTTGTCAGCGCTTAGGTTTAGTAATAAATAGGTCACTTTCATGTCCTGTAGTTAAAGGCATCGGAGGTACTAGTAAAGCGACACAGGGATATATAAATTTAAAATTTTATTCTCGGATAGATCGTAATGTTAACTTTGATATAAATGCACTAGTAGTAGATAGGGTCACTGAACGGTTGCCAACCGTTTCGGTTGACACCTCGGCAATGATTGAATTTAAAAATTTGCCTCTAGCAGACGACACTTACGCCGTTCCTGGAAACATAGACATGCTCATTGGGGCATCGCTTTTCCCTTATCTTTTGTTAAACAATAAGGTCAGGGGCAACTCCTCGCATACCGCGCCTTACGCACTGGAAACCGTATTGGGCTATGTGATTCTTGGCTCCGCCCCATCCTAGATAGTATTTCGGCAACCTCTTATTGTGGTATGGCTGTCGAACCGCTCGAGTCGTTAGTCCGCAAATTTTGGGAGATGGAGGAGGTGAACGTCCCACCTATAGCTAGTCCAGATGACAGGTTA